GATGAGAAAGAAGTTTGCTAAACTTGTTCGAGTCTTACAACACCGCAAGATAAATCAGTGATCTGGGATGAAACACTGGCACCAAAGTCAATGAAAAAGAAGAGAAGGTCAGCACTGAGATCAAAACTAGAGCTGGTAGCAGGTGGGTCCCCATAAACACAACCATCACTAGAATTCACCGTAAGGTGCTCGGGGAACCAGAAAAGGTCTGAATTATTTTTTCCAGGTAGATTACAGATTAAGTAGGGACAAAAAAACCCCACGAGCATCAGTCCTTTGTTCACACATGCAAGAAACACAAGGGTGGACTCCATCCAGCTGGGCACCTGCTTGGAATGACTTTTTGGGGTCAGCCTTGGAGATTGTGTAACGGTTTTTGTTCTGTTCTCTCTCTGTGGCACAATTTTACAACCCTGTAATCACAGCACTAAAAGGTGGGAATGGTAGTGCAAATCCCCGCTGTTAATTGTTTTGCCTGGCTCAGAGTGTGAACTTTAAGTCAAGACTTCCACTCATCAGGGGGGTGCCTGAACCAGCAGAACACACAGTGATTTTTTTTCTGGCTCACTAATCATTAAATAGCTCACACCAAGTAGAAAACTAATAGACTCAAATACTCATGCAGATTATTTTATATTAAGGACATTCAAACTTCTGAGCCCAACAACCCACATACCAAACACTTCTCTAAGATCAAAAGCCCCATTTTCTGCTCTATTTTCACAAGTTGGAAAAGAACTATGGCCAATTTTGTGGTCTTTAACAAAGCATGGACGCCCTATGCTGTACATTAGTTGTTTATAGACTTAAATTTTCTCTTAAAAGCATTTACCCTTGTATAACCTACTGCCTATAAGCTTGCTTTTCATTCACCTTTCCCAGACCATTTAGGAATATTTCAGGGATGCTGAGGGATCTGCAAAACACTGCAACAGATCAAGGCAAAGTCTGGGAAATACTCACTCTCTATAGCATCTGTTGCTCTCAAACACACTTGCTGTAAAACTGCACAAACTCCATTATATGGAAAACACTGGCAAGTTTAGAGAAGGCATAGAAATGCTTTCAGACCTTTTACAAGCACCCTCCATAGATGTGTCAAACATCCTTCTTGCAACCATGAAGACAAACCTTAACAGCATTTCGAAACTTACCTGGGACCTCACAAACAGCAGTCAGCAGCACGAGAGATCCCAGATGTGGAGGAAACAGCTGGAGTTCCGATTTCTTCACCAGACAGCTGGAGATTTCCCAATAAAAGTCAACGCAGCTTTCAATCCCAACTTTTTGCTGTTCCAGCTGCATGTTGTGGATCCCTGGGGAATGTACTGGATGAGGAATTTCTGGTAGCATGGATTAATATATTTCTGGTTTGTTTCTTATTGTCATGGGATTAAACCACGTTGAGCTTTACTTTGGCTAATAACATCAGTCAAGAAGTAGAATCATACAGAAGAGATTCAACGTGCCAGTGACATAGGAGGAGAACAAACTTTAGCCTTTCAATACTATTCCAGTTTCAAGGAACAGTACAGAAGCTTTGAGGTGGTGGTATGCCAACCAAATCAGAGGGGAGAGACTAGAGCAAAGAGAATGTAAATGCTTCAGTTCAGGCTGTTTAGGGCAAGACATGGCAGTGTCTGTTCTTTGCTTGTTTTCATCAGCTCTGTTGCTTTTGCCTTCAAAAGGTACAAAACTTTTGTTATACGCTATGGTAAAAAAAAAAAAAAAGTGTTTTGCCGTATAAAATAAGTATGCTTCCTTATCATATATGCATACCAATATACAGAAAGATTGTATATTTTAGACACATCACTTGTCAACAGCTTGTAAATCAGGTTTTTTTTAAGTAGTACCCTTAGTCATTAATTGTTTTAAACTTAACAAGTGAACACCCAAACAGGAAACACGATATATAAACAGGAACAAAATCTTTAACACAGCATTCAGTAAACACCCCAGTCAGAGTCTGGCCAGTCTGTTAGTAACCATCATCGACAGTTCTAAACACAACTGTGGCTTGGACAGCCTGCATAATCTCAGTGATGTTTGTATACTTTGCTACTGAGCAATGGAAAACATTTTTTTTTTCCCCCCTACTACCCTTTAGAAGCAATGTCTTTAAATCTAGTCTCCTTCCTGTCCAAATTTTTAGGGTCCAAAACGCTACTGCTACTTTTGGTTGTACGTTACTCTCATGACTGAAACCAAATGCTCCCGGTTCCCGTTTGTGTGCCAGGAATATTCATACACATCCCCCTTATTCAACTTTTGTTAGTAGTCAATGGACATAAACCAGATTCCACTGCAAAGTATGACTTCTGATCTATCTCGGTATCCTAATACACAACCTTGAGGAGGAAAAGTGAACCTTTCAGAAAACCCTGAAGTGGCAGCACTGGAATCTGAGCAGGGAAAAGCCAACTACTCAGAGCTAAAGACCAGTTTGTTCCCTCCCCTTCTGAAGTCCAGCTCCAGAGTGAGTTTTATGCTCATATTTACCAGTAAAAATAACATCACAATTCATGAGACATCTGAACTCCTATTTGCAGGGGCAAATCTGAGTACCAAACACATTACCAGAATCACGTGCACCCAAGAAGGGAAAAGGAGCAGAAGAGACGGACAAACATTGAGAGAAAATGTGTAAAGTGGTATTATGTTATTGAAACATTACATTAGAAATAAACAGAACACAAACACAAAAAAAAAATTAACCAGGTTTAACTTTTTCTTTTTTCTTTTTTTTTTTTTTTTTTTAAATTCAGATTGACCCAAAGCAAAAACTTACATTGCAAAGGAAGAACAAAATACATGACGATCCTGGTAACACAGCGTTGCATGGAATGCGTGGAAGCTAGACCCGTGGGCAGGCTGCAAGTTGCTCTTGTCACAACATCATTGGGGGCTCTCGACAGATTTAACCGAGAAAGGAGGGATCCACATTTTTTCATCTAGCCCAGGTCCACCCTGGTAAACACGCTACATGTTCTCTTTTGCCTCTGGGTATTTATCTGCTGGGTTTGTCCAGATGTGTTCTCCTACAATTGCCAACTAGAGCCAGAAAACTGGATTTTCCACGCTATCCTGAGGAAGCCAGAGTTATTCCAATCATGAGTGATAATGAATTAAAAATAAACCCCAAAACAACCCCAAAACAAAACAAACACTCAAGAGCTTTTCAAACTAACAAGTATTGTCTATAATGTAAATAGTTTAGAAATATGGTAATTAAATAATCTAAAAAACGCTCTGCTGTACATTTATAAACATAAATATTTACAAAAACTTTCTGCTTTGTTTTAAAGGATGAGGTTTGCAGTTTGTTAATGATCAGAGTCTTTTACTCATATTGATTCTTTGGTGTGTTTGCCAATTTTTTAAGGTTTATTAAAAGCGTTCAGCTGTGAATTTTAAGGTAATGGAACTAGGCTACATAACAAGTCTATATTATGCACTTCTCCTTCCACATTCTAGTCCGAATGAAAAACAAAGTTCAGTTTGTTCTTCAAAGTATTTGTGCACAATATTTAAAATAATAATTAAAAAAAGACCAGATTCCCCATTATTGAAATTTGGGAAGGATTAACAATGAATAATCATACTTCACTCGCACTCGGGCACATGCGTAACTTAAGATATTAAACTGGATTATCAGTAGGTTCAGAGGTGTGCCACACTGCGTTGCTAAATCAAAAAACCAGCTCCAAGAGATGGCTTAGCACTGTAAGAAAGGGCGAGAGCTTCCCTCCACCCTGGGGAAGGTAAAGAGGATAGGGTGAAAATTAATTTAATTTAAAAGAAAGCCTTTCTACTGGCCTGAAATGTATCTGTGTTCCCTTTAGACGTCAGTTACTTAAAAGAAATAACAAAAAAACAAACCTCAAACAATAAATAATGGAATTACACATTTCTTCATTAAATAGCATTCTCGTTACCAACAAAGTCTTCCATAATTTTCTTCAGTCACAGCAACAGACAGAACAAATAATTTGCCTTAATATAGATTGCAACTAAAATATACTCTAGATTACCTTAGAAAATATTACTGTAAAAATTCAGTGGGGTAGGACATTGTTTGAGACCAACTTACAAATGTAGTGAACAATACTAAGTATTTTTCAAAAAAAAGGAAGCAATTTTAAGGTTCTGATCTCACGTCACAAAACTGAAGATTCATGCTTAAAACCTGCCAGTCAATTCTTAACGTCCGACCTGCCTCAGTACAGCAGAGCTTAAAGATCCTAAGAGCTGATCTTTGTTGGTTCAACAGGAGCCGACAGACACCGTTACGCACACAAGCTCACACGCACGCCCCAGCCATGCGCTCAGGCTGTCCCTGCTGCAATGCCACCACCATTCCATCCAACCTGGAGGAAGCACTGTGAAGCTCTACTAGAGATGGCCACCGCACGGGCTGCGTGCTGTTAAGGTTGGACATACCTGCTCACCCGTGCTGCTGAGACACGAACTTTTGGTCACTGCTCAAGCAAGCTGGACTTGAACCGATACAAACTGGGAGATTAAAAGGTTCAGCGTCCCATTACCAATCCTCTGAACCATGAATCTCCAAAATCACTTATTGTTTGGAAACCTGATGCAATGCCGGGCACAATAGGGAGAGATAATCCTCCTTGCTCGCCATAGTCCCGGTGCATCCATCATCAGTGACAAGGTTCGTGCTCAAGGAACTGCAATCCAGGGCCGTAAGATATTGAAAGGAACTAGCACAGTTAAAACATATGAGTATACCTGCTTCACCTTGCTTTTCATATTTTTAATATTAAATATTTTGAAAGTGACAGTGTTAAAACTTAGAAGCCACCACCGTTCCTTTCATCTTTCCACTTCCATTTGTATAATTGGTACAAAGCACTGCTGATACTCGAGAGGTTCTTTCAGAGCCAGTAGGATGACAAAACAAAAGCAGAGGACACTGGCAAGAACCTTATGATGACTCGGTAATACCCTGAAAATAAAGAGAGTGAAACAACTGCACATTTTGGTCCAATCTTTTTTTGATAGCAAGGACTTCGTTTTTTGTTTTTATGATCAGAAACAAAACTATTTAACAGATCTTTTTAATACCTAGTATGAAAAACACATTCAGTAGCTGAATACCAGTACTCCTCCTTTCAGTTGCTGCTTTTAGATTAATTGGAAACCACTTAATGTTTGCAATATTTAAACTTTCAATATGAATGGGGCTTTTCTTACTAGTGCACATAAAAGGCATCTTAATAACTTATATGCACTTACCACCCTTTAATTTTTAACAAACTGAATTTCAGAGCAACCAAAAAAAAAAAGAAAAATCCACCACTGCCTTTAAAATAAAAGGGTTTGGCCAATTTCTTTCCTTTTTTTTTTTTTTTTTTTTTAAAGTGGACACAATTTGGCTGAGAACCCGTAGATAAAATTCCAACTGAAAGTGAAATAAAGCAGGTTATACATTCATGAAATTCAGGGAGTAATAACGAACAGCAACTGCCGCATCACTTTAGTAAGGTCAGGCCAACACTACAGCGAGGCAGCAGTTCCTATTCCCACAAATAATGCACTGAGACTAAATGAGGAATGAGGGGGGGAAATCACACATAAAGGGAAAATACATCAGAAAGATTATTGCACAGGAGGCACTGTATGAGAAACAGAATAGATTGGCTTCAAAAAAAAAATTAAATTTGTTTACTCTTAAGTTAACGCAAATAATACAGGGCTATGCCTCTTTGTAGTGTACTGTCACTGTTAAATAGACTTACAAACAGCCCCCCATTTTACAGGGAATGTCAGGAAAGAAGAGGGCCTGAATTTTATGGGCATCCCAACTACAGTAATTAGGAAAATAATAATATAAAAAGAGCCAATGTATAGACCCTCAGATTGAACAGGGTAACTGCATTTTTTCTTTTGATTTCCAAATTATATTCATACAGTACCCTAGGACATGTTGATTATCAACTCCTCCCTCTATCCTGCAAAAACATCCACCCTGGCAGAGACAAGAGTCCCAACAGACAACAGGGCTCCGAAGGTCTTTTTATTGGTCTCCTTTTGCAGGACCGGTGCCTTGATTTCCAAACTTTATTTTCTTGAAGAATTGCTCAGCATACCAATTCAAACCAACCGCTTCCCTCGAGAGGCTGCCTTCCATCTCCACTGCAAGTCTGCACACTTAATGTGAAAATAAACAAACAGAAAACCAATAGCAATTTTTAAAATGTAATATCGTATAGAAAGCTTGGACCTTGCAAACTTGGACCAAGAAACCAAAAATTAAGACCTTCTAGCGTGTGGCATAAAAAACCCAAGGAAGTGTATACCTGCCTTCTGACTTCACAGAAAAATCAGAATTTGCATAGGATATACTTTGTGCAAGGCAACAAGCCTCTTCAGTATCTGGAATATAACTAATCTTGCTCAGAGTTCTTCTCTTCATGGATATCAGATATCATCAAATTTGTGTTTTAAGTAGTCTTTCATGACCTTGGCAATGGGTAGTTCATCAAGTAGTTTTAGGTTTTGAAGGCCTATACACTGACGGATTTTAATTCGGCATAGATCTTGCAAGTTTCTGGGCTGTCCTGAAAAGACAAAAGGAACACATAAAAGTAAAACGATCACATTTTAAACATCCTTTAAGAGACTATTTACTCAGTAAAATCACAGATGTTTGCTGTTTTCTAAGATGCAGAGGGAAGGGGAAAATTACAAGAGAAAAAGGGTAGAAGTGAATACCTTTCTAATGAACAATAATTCAACAAAATCAAGGGATGAATCTTAAAAACATTTTTACATGCACACAATTTTACTGATGCCAGTGTAAAGTGACATTATCCATGTGAGGATTCCTGCAAGATGCTAACATGCGCTTAAGCACTGTAGAAGAGCATAACTCCTCCATTTACCTTTTTGTGGATTTTTTTTCTATCCTTGTAACACCTGGGGAAAAAAAAACCTGCAGTCTCGCTTCTTTCCAAACATTAAGACAAAAACTTCTACATTCAACTGTAAGGGGACTAGGTGGTTTCCTTAGAGAGTGAGGCTTTATAAAAGTTATTCAAGGATTGTGTGGCAGAGTTAAAGATTGTTTTTTCCCCCTCTAATGAAAAGTCAAAGCCCTTAGGCTTTGGATACAGCCACAACCTCGTCAAACAGAAAGAGAGGAATATATGAGTTAACGCTGTCCGCAGAGGAAAAATTTTACTGACATCACATGAACTTCAGAACTTCTGGCAAGGAATTTCCAGATTAATCGGTTCCCTTTCAAACTCATTCTTAACAGGAAACTATTAAAAGTCAAACACCTAGAAAAACAGTCCCCCATGCAACTTAATGTAAGAAAGGTTAATGTAGCCTCATAGCTGAATGTACCCAGCAATGGATTCCAAAGAAGAAAGAAAAAGAGCAGAACAACAGACATTGAGAAATCCTGTCCCAATATACCCTTCTAGCTTTCAGCACCGGTGCCTTTGGGCCCTTCTAAACCAGAGATTGCACACAGATCTACGTCTTTAGTAGCTGTGAATGGCCTGCCCTTTGTAAAGCTGTCTAATGTTTTTTTGAACCCATTCATACTTTCAGTATCCAAAACATCCTGTGGCAACAAATTTCACAATATAATTAGGCGTTGGCTGGAAAACTACAAAGTGCTTTTTATTTATTTTAGATCTGCTTCCTGATCACTTCATTGCTTCCCTACCATTCTTTCAGTTACAAAAAAAATAACAAATAATTGTTCTCACGCCAGTCATGATTTTACATACCATTATATTATTCTCCATTCTCAACTCATGCTCGGTACCTGTTTCCAAAGCTGAAGACATTTTTTTCTATTTAATAACCTCCCACCATGGGAGCCACTCCAAACCTCTGACCAAACTAGCTGCCTGCCTTTGTGTTTTCGCCTCATATCTTTTTTAAAATTACCCCCATAACACATTGAGGGTGTGCTAGGCAATATTTTGATCATTGACTTAACTATGTCATGGCCTGGGAAAAAAAAAAGAAAAAAAGAAAAAAAAAAAGGCTTACACAGTTATGACACCTGACAGCTGTCTGAGACAAAATACTCAGCACCACAAACAATGTAGGTGCTTACACCAGTATCAAGATAATCTGTCACCAACAGAGCAACTTACTGCAGGCTTATTATCTGTATAATTGTTAACGGTAAAAGACAGAGCTTGCTTTTGCGAAGAAAGACACGGTGATTTTACTGAGCTGACTGCCTGAATCAATAATTTCTTTAAAAAAAGTACAAACCAACAAAAGTGACTTTAAATAACTGAGATGGATGCTTCCAATTAGCTTTCCTGAGCTGCACCAATTTAAGCAGGACGTTTTCAAAGGAGGAAATGCCTTCCGTACAGGACTCGATGTGGGCAGGCTTTACGGTAGGCAGCAGGATGCTGTCAGCTCACCGGGCACTAACCTGTTTGGAGGAGACGGGAGGGTTTTTCTGAGCCAGAGCTGGCTTCGGAGCCCTTCCCTTCCTCCATCCTCCTCCTAGTTCAGCAACAAACCTTCTATCAGCTAAATAGAAACTGACATTACGAGTTTATTAGACTTTCCTGGTAAGCACAGAATAAAGAGATTAAGAAGCTATTTCCTGTTTTCTACTTTGGGCATTTTGTACAGGGTTTCAGTTACCCTTTAGAGTGAGCTCCCCCTTTTGTCCCCCTGCATGGGTTTTTCTATAGAAAAGGGCTGACAGACAGGTATATACCGGGATTTATCTTAAGCACTAAAATTATCCGAGGTAAGCTAGCAGAAGTAATGCATGACAATAGTCTCAGTCTGTTTTTAAAGAAATTAGATTTGAAATCAAAGAGCATGAAAATCTGAGTTTCCTTCATATTAAGTTTATAATACTTTTATTATACTTATCACCACAGTATCTAAATATCAATTTATTTTTAATTATATCCTTCAGCCACAACTCAGGATACAGATCATTAGTTACTTTGTCCACTGGTGGTTTCTTCTTAGCAATTTATTTTTTTTTTCCCACCTGAAGGAATGAAATTATACAACTCAGACAACAGCTGAATGCTCAAGCTTCAGGGAAAGTTACTTTTGGTAAGAAACCAAGCAGAGGAATCTCTAAAGAAATAGTTCTAATGTTTTAAATGTGAATGCAGTAGGGTTCAGAAAGGATGCACCTTTTCAAAAGTTACCCTCCAACGCTGCTGTTTGAGGTTATAGGGGACTACAGATCTCTCTGTGTATTTTTTGTGGTAGAGTACACAATAATACAGCTATGAGACACTGATTTCTGGTTTCAGAAATGAATGCCTTTTAATTAACATCCTACGAGTTTTTTGAGAACAAAATGGAACAGACAAAACACCCAGAAGAAATTGGTCATCAGTGAATTCAAAAAGACCCGATTATCAAATGTATGACATTTTCCCCTGATAAGCCTAAAAATATTTCCTGGGAATGTGTTAACAATGGACATTTTCCGTGTTAAGCATCAGTTGCTATATCTAGTGGCTGTTGGTGTCTTAGGTCATGCCTTGCAAATTCCAAGGTTATTAATGCATTTGGGAGTTATTAGAAACGGTGTCTAGAATACTTACTCATTCTTGGTTGCATCTGAATGAAAAAGGAAAAAAATAAAGGATTACAGACTGATGTCAGTGAACCTTGGTTTGGCAAATGAAAAAATGTTATTAGTAATTTGGCAAAGGAAGACAAGTTCAATGATGAATAAAGTTCTGTTTAAAAACGATTAGAAAGTAGCAACTTGGGTTACGTCCTGCATCACAAGTTTGGAAAGTCATTCACATAAATAAGCTAGAAAGGAAGAGAATTAAAAAGAAAGGAAAAAATAACACATAAAAGGTAAGATTGACCTAATTACCACCAGCATGCAAAATAGTGATATAAAACTCCTGATCACCTTAAAAAAAACCCAACACATCCCTGATCCGGTCTCCACGGGACACCTTGACGATGGCAGTGCTGTTATTCGAGAGCAGCCAGGTTATTGTTAGGCTGTTACACAACCCGAGTTACCATCGGGGCAGCAAACCCCTGCCGCTGCTGCAGAGCTGAAGGTTTGCTAACATGTTCACCGAACGACTTAGATAACGCCAGCCGACTTATTGGCAAGCTTTATAGCGAAAATCAGATAAATTAGAAGTATTAATTATGGGAAAAAGAGATGTATATTTTGTCTTCCACACTTTATGCTACATGCTGTAATGGAAAGCAGAAATCTCCACCAGTGCACTTCTTGTGTGTGGTTTCCCAAACACGGCAGAAAAGTTTCTTCCAAACAGAAGAAAAGTTAAACATAGCGTTAGAAAATAAAGAGGACTTGCTTTTTGATTTTTTTTCTCTCTAGAGACAGCAGACTTCAGTACATGTAAGAGTTAACCATTTTCCTGATTCAATTCTTCAACTGCTAACAAAGTAAGTTCCTGAGCATCTTTTTCCCCCTTAAATAATTATTATTTATATAATGAAATAAGCTTTAAAAATTATTATTAATAGATAGGCCTTCTCTGGTAAAGCAAGGGGAAAAAAAATTCATGTTTTAACAACAAGAAATTACTACAATTGATCCTGAATTTCCATTCAACACTTCATTCCTTTTCTTCATGCAGTTTCAAGATTTTTCTGCTATTTCATCTGAGAGTTTGCTGTTCTATCCCAGAGACAGACAAAACTTACACATAGGATCCATCACCCATACAAAGAACTGTATGTCACTGTTACGACTGCTCCGCAGCTCGTGCATTTAGACCCGTGCCTGCCCTGCTCTTCCTATGCAGACCATGCTCCTCAAGAAATAAAAACACCAACTTACTTAATAGGTCTATATTTAAGGATCATGAAGGTGTAAAATTAGATCTAGTACCTCTGACAACACTGGATTCTCACTCAGTCTTAAGCAAAAGTATTGTAGGGGTGGCAAGGGGGAATCCCTACCACTTCCCTCCACTGAAGATACAAGAGCACCTGTGCACAGCAAAAATCATGAACTGACCTGTTTTGTTACCCAAGAGAAAACTTAGGAGTAACTGAAATTAATACACTTGTAGGCTGTGAGAAGATCCTCTCTGATGGATTGTCCTAGCTACTAAAAAAACCAACAAAAAAACCCCACAAAAACAAAAAACCAAAGAAAATTTAAAGCCAAACAATCGGTATCATTGGTTTGGAGTGGATAGGCATTTTCTGAAGAAGTTAAAAAATGAAAAACAGCATCAGTGACATACTTCAGATGCTGCCTCCAGTTTTCTCTGCAAAATTAATACATTTCTCTAGAAAAGGCTTACAGTGGTATTTCTCCAACCGAGCCTCTGTCACCCCTGGGAAATGTGAAAGGTTGGAAACAGTAGCATGTAACCATTTGGTAGTTTCCTTTTAGCTTCAAAGGAAACTTAAAAATAATTTTTTTGTGAAATATTAAAAGAAAGTTGAAACCAGGTTGATGTATGTCTGGCAGCAGCTCAGTTCCTCTAGAGTATCAGAATAAGTATTTATATCTGCAGCTAGCTATTAAATCCATCCCTTCTTTCACAGCTGTGAAGGAACCCAGCTACGGGCAGCTATTAAATTTAGTTACGAT